TCAACCAAGAAAATGCATCAGAATGTAAATGAATAAGGATCACCAATACACTGATAAATTTGAATACATTGTTTTTCTTTTTAAACAATATTAGTAAACATCAATGTTTTATTAGTACAATTAGTGAAAAAAAAATTATTTTGGCCAAGGTATGTTCTTGATCCTTGATGAGAATTACTGGTATGTTCTTTAGCCACCTCTTTATTTTACTAATAAGAAAAAAGACTTGGGTAAGTTAGGTAATTTACACAGAAGTTAATAACCAAGAGGTTGATTTTGTTTGGATTGTGGGAAGGTAAGGAATAGGGAAAGCACATATTTTTTGAACTAAGAAAATATGATCTAACATTTCTATAAATGAACAAAAGCACCTTCTATTCTGATTCCCCCCAAAAAGGGATGAATTAGTAACTTACCATTCAGCCTAAAGCATGCAAATCATAAAGGATTATTCAGATTTTTTTTATTACCTCATACTATCTTCAAGGGCCAGAGAGGTAAACCATTATTACTAAAATGCTCATATATTTTTCTAGGGGTTGGCAAGAAAACTTGGGGTACCAGTTTCACTACAGGTTAAATAGAATAGAACATTCCTCTTGTAATTGTATCATCTCAACTAGTGAACTAAAAATTGTAGAGGGTTAAATCAAACCACTTCTTTTGATCCTACTCTACTATGACGGTATCAGAAAGTAAAGTTCTTATTGACGCCTAAAATGTGTCCAGGTATATATTCCTTGCCTACCAAGTGGGAATCTCAATGGCCAAGAAACTAGGATTTCAAATTAGAACTATATTCTCTATCTGTTTAAAAAAATATATTAAATTATGTTTAGTAGTAGATAACGATACTTTACCATTTAAGATAATATACCAACTATGCAACAGTTATTTACTACAGTCAGAACTTAACAAGCAATATAAATTATTTTTGGTTATGGTTTTCGTGGGTGTGTATGTACGTGTTACTTTGTATTTTGTTATTACTATTTACCTTCAGTTTTTAGTTTGTGTTTGGTTTTTGGATTCTTCCATTTTTATTTTACTTGGAAGAATAATTTTTAATGTTTTTGTTTCCATACTGCAGACGGTATCCAACTGTTGAAAAACGAGCCAAAGTCTTCAATGGAACAAGCTATGTGCCTATCCCTGAAGATGGTCCCTTTCTTAAATCATTACTCTTCGAACTTAGATTATTGGATGAAGATAGAGACTTCACGGAGAGTCGTGATAGCTGTTCTCGCATCAATAAAACATCTGTGTACGGACTTAAAGTAGGAGGTGAAGAACTCTGGCCAGTTGTTGCTTTTCTGAAGAATGGCATAGTATATGCTTGTGTCCCACTAGTGGAACAAACTTTATCCCCTCGTCCAGCACTCATTAGCATTAGTGCAGTTTCACAAGGCTTTGAACTTCTTTTTGGGATACAGGATTTTCTTTACTCAAGTCAAAGAATTGATACTGAGCTAAATACAAAACTCAGCCAATTGCCTGACTTGCTTCTGCAGGCTTGCCCGTTTGGAACTTTACTAGATGCCAACTTACAGAATTCATTGGATAGTATCAGTTTTGCTTCTGTGACTCATCCACAAAAGCAGCCAGCCTGGAAAGCTGGAACATACAAAGGAAAACCCCAAGTTTCTATTTCTATCACTGAAAAAGTAAAATCTATGCAATATGATAAACAGGATATAGCAGATACATGGCAAGTAGTCGGAACTGTCACTTGCAAGGTGAGGTTTTTCTCTGGAACTTGTCTTATACCATTTACACCTATAGAAAAAAGTAAAATTTACTAATTTTAGTTTACATTGTTACATGACACTAGAGCCCCAATGCACAAAATTTGTGCAAGGGACTCGGCCCTTGCAGCTGCTCCCTTGGCCCTTGCAGCCCCAGCTTCGTCCGGAATGTCATTTGGCTGTCCGGTCTAATTAGCATATTATGCCATTATTATAGATGATTATAGATTCTTGATTTTTATCATAAACAGCAGTCACTAGATGTTAAATTCATATCATATTTGGTAAAATCTTTTTGCATTCCTTACTTAGTTATATCTTGCCACAGTAATGAATTGCCCCATTGTCCCAACAAAGAACATTTATTATCATTTCTGTGGATCAGGATTTCAGGAGCAACTTAGTTGGAACTTCTGGTGTGGAGTCTCTCATGAGATTACAGTCTAGAATTCAGCTGGAGCAGTAGTCACCTGAAGGTTTGACTGGGGCTGGAAGACCTACTTGCAAGGTAGCTCAGTCACATGACTGGTTAATGGTGGGAGGTCTTAGTTCCTTTCCATGCGGACTTTTCAACATGGTGCTTAAGAATGTCCTCACAACTTGGTGACTAGTTTTCTATAGATCAAGTGATTAGACAAGAGACAGACACGGGGCACAAGTAGAAGCTATATTTTTTATTACCAAAACTGAGAGGTTAGATAGCTTCACTTCCACCATTTTCGGTTGTTTAGAAACAGGTCACTAAGTCTGGTCTGCATTCAAGGGGACTGGAGTTAGGCTTCACCTTTTAAAAAGAGTCAAATAATTTGTGAAAATATTTTAAAACCACCATATCTGTTTTCCATTTTCTCTAGAAGGGGTGAAATTGACAAACCTCAGATTTAATATCTAAAGCTATTTTGAAAGGCCCTTGATTTATTTAAACAAGTCAATGAGTTAATATGGGGGTTCTCTGGTTAGAAGTAGGAAAAGTCAACAGAAATAATAATAGATAGCAGTGATCAGTACCATGTTGAATAATGATCTAAAATAAAAACCCCCAAGTACAATTTTTACAAGTGGATATTAATATTCTCAGATACCTTTATTTTTCTATCTTCCTTTATTCTCTGTACTTATGAATATAAACTTTTTTATACATCAAACAATATTGAATGGTTATGTAGTAGATTTCAAGAATAGAGAAGTAGAACGGTCCTGGGACAAATTGGGTCTTCCTTTTTCCTTTTAACCTTAAAGTGATTTATGAATATATGTGTTTAAACTTCATTCCATCATGATCAAAAATACATAGCAGTTATTAAGTTTATCAGAAGTATAAATAGCTCCAATGTTGAGGTGTTTGTGGGTTGTGTTATTTGTAAGCCTTAACACAGTTGAAGTCTTTTTTCTTATATTCCTGTGACAGTAAATAGGGAATCTATATCTATTAAACAGGGAATATGCTAATTAGTCAAGCATCATGACCTCCCCCACCCCAGCGGCCGTGGGGAGGCTGGGGTTGGGGGCAGGCCAGAGTGGAGACACAACACACAGAGAGGCTGGGGCTGGGGGCGGGCCGGAGCGGAGACACAACACAGGAGCGCCTGCCCCCACCCCAGCAGATACAATGCAGCGACCGGGGGCGTGCTCCAAGTGGCCTCACAGCTTGGAGCACACCCCCGCCCCAGCTAACACAACCTGGTGGCCGGTGCAGGTCCCGGCACCCTGCGGGGTGCCTCCTCGCGCGATTTCAATTGTGCGCTGGGCCTCTAGTAACTATAATAATAAAAGCGTAACATGCTAATTAGACTGGACGACCTTCCAGACAAAGCCGGGGCTTCGAGGGAAGCCTGGGTCCTGGGTGATAAAGGGAAGCCAGTGCCAGCACCCCGGGGAAGGAAGGCCTACTCTTGCACGAATTTTGTGCATTGGGCCTTGTGTGTGTGTGTGTGTGTGTGTATAGAGGTAATATGCAAATTGTCTGGGACAGTGTAACATCATGACCACTCAGGAGGAGGCTGCACACGCAGGTGCAGGAGGGGACTGCGTGCGTGGTGAGGTCTTTTCCTCTTCTATGCTCTTGATAAATAAATGGAAAAATATCCTCAGGTGAGGATAGAAGAAAGAAAGAAATGTCATATCCTACGGATTGGAGAGGGTGCAGGTCAGGCTGAGGAATCCCACCCCCCACACAAATTTCGTGCACCGGGCCTCTAGTCCTATATAGTAAAGAGCTAATATACTAATTAGACCAAACAGCAGAACAGCTGTCCAGATGACCTTCTGAATGACCTTCCAGATGAAACTGCGGCTGCGAGGGCAGAGCCCCTTGCATGAATTTTGTGCATTGGGCCTCTAGTGTTATATATAATTTACTACTAATTAATACTATGGTGTTTAAATGTCTCAGCTCATTAATAAGCTAACCCTAGTTTATTGTGTATTGGAATTTTGGGTTGATTTCTATTTTTTTATCTGATACAAGTTATGGAAAACTTTCTTCAAAAAACTTTCTTCTAAAAGTAAAAAGAGTAGGGCTCTACTTTAACCCACATATTAAATGTTTCTTTAAACTTGTATTTAAATAGTATATCTGTTATCCAAACATTTTTTAAGTACTTCAAAAGCTTAGCATACAAGTTTTATTGTGAAGCCTGTTGTAAATGGAAGTAATTATCCTCATTTTATCTTAGTACAGTGGGGCCTTGACTTATGAGTTTAATTCATTCCGTGACAGAGCTCGTAACTCAAATTACTCGTATGTCAAATCATAAAGTGAATGAGTGAGATATGTGATGCTGGGCTGATGTTGTGGCGTTCACTGTGACATTTGCTGCGCCAACTAGCAGTAGGGTATCTGAAGCTGGCTCGTAACCCGAATTTTAGCTCGCAACTCAAAGCAAAAAATCAGCCGAGAGACGGCCTGTATCTCAAAAAACTCCTTAGTCCGGGCACTCATAAGTCAAAGCCCCACTGTCCTAGTAGATAACCAAAAACCAGTGGACTAAAGTTCTAGTCCCCACTTTACCGCTAATTTTCCATGTCTTTGGAAAAAATCTTAATTCTTAAATTTTTTTCTTATTTTTAAAATCAAGTAAGTTCCTAGACCCTTCTGTTTTATAATTTCTAGTTAAAAGTCCACTTTTACATATGCCAGATTGGTTTAAAGGGTAGTACAAAAATTTCTTCTAAAATGGATGTCCTCATTCTATAGTAAATGACTGGTGATCTGGTATTTTAAATGCTTGGGAGGAGATAATTTGTTGGTGGTTTCCATAATGGCTGCATTTTCTTGATCCCTGTAAGCATGTTAGAAGCCAATTAAAGAAATATAAATTGACTGCTTTAAAATTATAATAGTATTTGCTATTAATATTTGCATATTTTGTTATCTTTATAAATATCTGTCAAAAGACAAAACCTTTTTTCTTGCTAATTTATATATGGAGATGAAATGACAGATGGTGTAGAAGTTAAAACACTAAAGTATTTTTCAGTTTTATAGTAAGAGTATATGACATTCTTATTTTCTAATGTGGTTGATAGTATTGTAACTGAAACTGAAAGACCTTTATAAGACAGTAGTTATGCATGGTGCTGTTTATATGCCTGCCTAGTCTCTAAGTACTTACATTTTATAGCACATATATTCTTGAATTTATATATATGTCAATCAATAGATAAAACGAAAAAGGTGAAATATTTCAGATTAAAATGGAAAACAAATGTAGGCTCCATAATTAGAAAACTATATCCATTCAGCAAACATTTTTTTTTTTTTTAGTGTCTCATGTGCATAGCAATGTGCTAGACACTAAGGATGTGAAGAAAACAGAGGTCTGGGAAGCTGTCGAATCTAGCTTCCATGACCTTCCTAGAATAATGGCTTCCCTTTCCCCTCTACCTTCCAAGCCTCTCATTACCTGTCATTGGCAAACTAACCATAACACACAGGAAAAAAGATCTTGGGCTTCTCTATATTGCAGAGGTGGGCTGTGGAGCTGACAATACAGAATGTGAGGCCTCACACAAAGCATCACATGAACTGAGGTTACAAAGAGAAAAGATTGTAGCTGGAGGGAATAGCACATAAAAAGCATGGAGGTATAGGATATTATGACTTATTCAAGAAAATTCAAGAATTCATTATGTCTACAGCATTAGTTGCAGGGTAGAAAATGATTGAAGATGTAGGTGGGAGCCAAACGATGAAAAGCTTTCAAAGTAATACAAAACTGAGAGGCAACTACTGAAAGGTTTTGAGCATGGATACAGTATAATTAAAATTATGTTTCATTAAGATAACGACACTAATGGAGGGTGGATTGATTAGAGGAAAACAAATCTAAATACATTTAGAAGACTATAACCAAAATTGTAAGGTCCTATACCATTGTGTTTGCAACAAGAATGGAGAGAATTCACTGGGTTTAATATAGCTTTTTAAGGGTTGAAAATATAAGCAGAGGATTCCAGGAAGGTTCTCCTAGTCTCTGGCTTAGGTGTCTGAGAGCATGATAACACTATTAAGGAGAACAGACAGCAAAGAGAACAATGTCTTAAGAGAAAAGTAAGTTGTGGAAAATGACTCAGATAAATTCTGAAAAGCCTTGCCCAGAAGATGTTTGCTTCTAAGATCGTGGTAATAATTTTCCTTTTGTATTACAGTGTGATTTAGAAGGAATCATGCCAAATGTTACCATCAGCTTGAGTCTCCCCACCAATGGATCTCCACTTCAGGATATTCTAGTCCATCCTTGTGTGACTTCTCTTGACTCTGCCATTCTGACTTCTAGTAGCCTTGATGCAATGGATGATTCTGCATTTAGTGGACCTTACAAATTTCCATTCACTCCACCTTTAGAATCATTCAACTTGTGCTACTACACTTCCCAGGTAAACAACCTTGAAAAAATTGAGACTTTGCAGATCATTCTTACATTTGGTCCAAAGGAGAACTTTTCATGAGTTATTTACCAGATGAATGAAAATGAAGATTCAGTTCTTTGAATAAGATGTCTCTTATCTCTGGTGTCTTGTAACAGCACTTAATGTTTTCAAAGTCATGGAATTTTTTTTATTAATGTTCCCAAATAAGGAGTTTATGGTCATAGGGAAGATCTTGGTATAATTATGGTTTGAACCATGAACATGTAAAAATGCCTTTAATCCTAGGCAGCTGTGGTTACAAATATATAATATTATTAATAGCTGTTTATTGCTTATTGAAACAAACATTTGTCAGACATTGTCCTAGGCACTTTACATGTATTTTCTCTAACACTTTCAAAACCCTCGTATTTTTATCCCCACTTTACAGATGAGGAGAGTCTCAGAGAAGTTCAGTGGCTTGTATTAGGTCATATAACTGATAAGTAGCAGAGCTTAGATTTGAACCGAAATTTTCCAGACTCCAAAACCTACTTTACCATTTGTTTCTTGTAATTGTGAATCAGTGGTTTAGAAAAGCCTACTCAAGCTAGCTTAAGTAAACTGAATTTACTTTGAGAAGACAAGAGGGAATCTCATTGTCATTCAAGGATAGGAAGTAGACCCAGGCTTTACTGAAACTAGAATCAGAAATTAAAATTAAAAGCACTCTGTACTCAAGGTCTACACTGTGTATCTCTGCTTCTCAGTCTCCTCTTCCACCCAGCTTTCTCAGCTTGCATATGTCCTCCAGTACTAGGATGTGTACTGCAAAGTAGGTCCTTCCTATTTCTTACTTCAGATGTACTAGAAATATTGATGGGCTCACCCCAGCTTACAGATTGTCTCACTTTCAATCAATTATTGATAACCAATTTAGCAAGCTACTGCTGAGCTAGGTGTGGGGTGGGGTGCCACAGTATACAAATGGGGCAACAGGAACTGTGGGCAGAGTGTCACTGCCTGTCCTAAATGGCAGGTCATAGAGAACTTGAAAGAGGGGAACCTGGATGAGCAAGAGTAGGAAAAAGAGTGTAAAAATGAATTGCACACCTTTGTCAGGCACCTTTCTCATCTCTGGAAACAAAAAGAGATGGAAGAATCTTTGCCTTTCCAACGCATGTAGCTCCATCATCTATTATCCAAGCAACTTGGAGTAACCCATTAGTCATTAAAGATGTATCTTTAAATAATGAGTATATTACTGCAAGACTTTTTTTCAATTGCCATTGATATTTTAGACCCATTAACCTGACAATTATGTAAAAGTTTGTATATGTTTATTTCCAGGTTCCTGTCCCACCAATTTTAGGCTTTTATCAAATGAAAGAGGAAGAAGTACAACTAAAAATAACAGTTAATTTAAAACTTCATGAAAGTGTGAAAAATAATTTTGAATTCTGTGAAGCTCATATACCATTTTACAATAGGTAGGAATAAAATAACATGATGCCATGATTTCTGCCTTCCTTAGTACATTTCCACTGCCCCACAGTGAATTACCTGTCTTTGTTTTTAACCTTACTTATAAGATTTTTTTAATACTATTCAAATGAATGCTGATTCTGAACCAAAACATAGTGATAGAAATAATCTCTACCTGTAAATGTGTCTCTATTTTTCTGGTTAAACATGCTAATAAATATAAACATAAGCCAGCATAGCTTTCTCAGAGATTGTTTCACTCCTGGCTTTATTTCTAGCAATTTCTCTCTACTCTATATAAGTCAAGCCTTGCTATCAACTATCTGGTGAATTAAATTAGTCATATCATAAGATTACAGTTGACTCATATACAATTGAGGGTTGGGCCACCAACCCTGCGCAGTGAAAAACCCATGTATAACTTTTGGCTCCTCAAAAACTTATCTACACTTGACCCTCCACACCTGCGGATTCCCAACTATAGATTGAAAAGGTTGACCTGTGGACAACACAGGTTTGAACTGTGTAGGGACCTATGTTAATCAAGGGTCAACTACTTCCTCACCATTCTACTTTAAACTCGTTCTGCAGCATAGTTCTTTGCAAAGTGTATCTAAATGTATATTAAAATTATAGTTTTAATGTTATGTCAATCTATGTGACTAGTAATATATTCTATATGATTTTATATTTATCTTTAGAATTAATAATGAAATATATGTCATCACCAAAATGTTTATTGTGCTTCTAGCATATTTTGAGATATAATATTATTTGTTCTACTCTATTCTGCCAACTTGAATATAGAAATGCTTTTATGCTTCCCTTGTATTAAGTAACAGTAGCAAGATTTGACTTAGATTTCTTAAACTTGTTATATCTGTGACTTTTTTTTTTGTATTGTGTCCTTTTTTAAAGAGGTCCAATCACACATGTGGAATACAAAGTTAGTTTTGGCCAGCTCGAAGTATTTCGAGAGAAAAGCTTATTGATCTGGATTATTGGTGAGCCAGGTTTTGTTTATTGATTATTTTTCATTCATTTGCTTTAGAATCTACTTAATTTAGGCTATTTGATTGGTAAATTTTTGTTTTTAGGACAGAAGTTCCCAAAATCAATGGAAATTAGTCTTTCTGGAACTGTAACTTTTGGAGCCAAGAGCCATGAGAAGCAGCCATTTGACCACATTTGCATTGGGGGTACAGCATATTTAAAGGTAAATATATTTGAATAACTCACTCCCTTAGAAACCTTTCCTTTGTTTCTAAATTACATATATCTAATTGATTTTTAATGTTTTCTAGTAATTTTTTAAAACTCTGGGGTTTTTTTGTCCGTGCTGTTCCTTTTTTATTTTTGTGAGATTATTTTTGTTTAGTGTTAGTAACTTTCTTTTTCACTTAATACTGTAAAACTTTTAAGGTGAAGCAGGTAAGTATGACCTAAACACCTCACCTTAATCTGTTTCTGCCCAGCTATCATGAGCACATGTGAAATTTGTATACCAAAAATGTAAAATGTAGTCCTTTTCCCCTAGAGTTATTTTCAGTAATCCATGTCAACAATTGATCGGTGCTAACTGCTTTTGGTATTTCAAAGACAAAGTGCGCACTTCTGACCAATGTGGTCAAGGAAAGCATTGCAGTAGAAATGGAATTTAAGCAAAACTCTGAGGCCCAGATAAGCATGAATGTGAAGCCGTGAAGACTAACATTTGTATGAATTAAAGAGATAACATAGAAGATTGAAGGATAACAAAGCACGCTTAGGAACCAGTGCCAGGAACAATAGTAGCACATAGGGCTGGATACATGGTTTAGGTGTGGATTGTAGAGGGTTTCAATCTAATTTTTATTCCTTTATTAGAAAATGTTATAATTTTTTTGAGTAGGGGAGTGAGTGGTCTTTCAGAAAGTGATACTTTATAAAGATTAAGCTGGAATGTATGTGAAGAAGGTGAGAGAAAAAAATAACTATAGACAAACTATTTTTTAGCTCTATTAGTATTCCAGATGAAAGGTGTAAGTTAATGATGCTGAGCTCCTGTAGTGTCACAGAAAGAGAAAGGATGAGAATAAAAGGAAGAAACTGCTGAAGGAGTTGTAATAAACATAAAGCCTTGGTCACTAATTAAATATAGAGACAATAAGTACTTTAAAGTCAAAGATGGTATTATTAAAAATGTATGTAATTTAAACAAGACTTGAGGCTCCAAGAGAGTGGAGTCCATGTGAGTCTCATTCATTCATTGTTTTACTACCAACATCTAGACCAATACCTGCCACAATAAATATTTGATGAATGGATCAATATAGTAGTTAGAAGAAAATACTGATGTGGAGAAAGTTGAGAGGGAGCGGGCTTCATATCATGAATGTTGCTGGTGATAGCCATGTATCCCAGTGTAAGTGTTCAGAAGGTAGCTAAAAAGTTGGAGCAGGTTGCCGAAACCGGTTTGGCTCAGTGGATAGAGCGTCGGCCTGCGGACCGAGGGGTCCCAGGTTCGATTCCGGTCAAGGGCATGTACCTGGGTTGCGGGCACATCCCCAATGGGAGATGTGCTGGAGGCAGCTGATCGATGTCTCTCTCTCATCGAAGTTTCTAACTATCTCTCTCCCTTCCTCTCTGTAAAAAATCAATAAAATATATTTTTTTAAAAAAAAAAAGTTGGAGCAGGATTCTCAGGAGGGAGCTCAACTATATATAGGATTTAGGAGTTATCCATGGAAAAGAAATAGTCGAGTCAGTGGAAATAAGATTTTTTTAAAAAGAGAGAGAGAAAATAAGGAGAAAGATTCGGAAGAACCAATGAAGGAAACTGAAGAGGTGATCAAAAGTAACAGCAAGATCTAAATAGAATAGTATCAAAGAAGAGAGATCGAAATCCATACATAAAAGCATTAGTACTTCTGAAGTCAGAAGTACACTTGTGACATTCATTTCTTCTGTCTTAATTTCAACTATGTCCACAAGCTTTGTTTCAAGGATTTTTATAAATATTTCTGCTTCCAGATATTTTTCAGAAAAAATGTAGGATGTTGGTTACCACACTGTATGTCTTTCAAAGGTAGGGATTATGACTTTTCTATTCATTTCCATCACCTAACCAGATGTAGTTTAATTGAAAGCATGTACTACATATTTGTGTTCACTAAATAGACTTATTTTTATAATATCTAGCTTTTTGGAAATCAACCGTGTCATAACTTTCAGCATCCAGAATTATGCTAAACAAGCAATTAAAATCCCTTTATTGTTGAGATAATTTGAGTTGCAACAGGAAAGACATTGCAAAGATCTGGAAATTACATTCTATGCAAATGATCAGTTCGTTTTGTAACCAAAATGAGAAAGTTAGGAAGTGGGAGAAATTTGCAAGGAATGGAGATAGAAGAAAGAAAAAGTATAAAAAAAGTTATCAGGGTATTGCAAAATCAGGAACTTTTAGCAGCAAAGATGAAGAGAACCGAGGGGACTGGAGCTCTGTAAGATATAGAACCTTCATGGTTAATGTGAATATCATTGTGACTCAGGCACCCAGGGCTACGCTTTCAGAGAAGGTACTAATGGCCCTTGCTGTTAGAATCCCACATAATAATTGGCATTTATACTGATGACACAATATTATCAATTAAATCCGAGACCTATGGATTACATTTTAGAAAGGTTTTATAGGTGAGAGAAGGGGTGATTTCTAAGTTTAGTTATATTTCTGGAAAATTAAGTAGAGCATCTCATTTCTTCTGAACCCCAGAATAAACTGGTGTTTTTCTTTTCGTAATTGTATTTTTGTGGTTTGGTAGAATATGTTTCTGCCTGTAGAAGAATTATGATCTAAATATATCACAACCACATAGCCTTAGAGATAGAAGAGAATATCCAGAACACCAGACACCTTAGGGGAAGGAGCATTAGCTTGGTAATCAGTCAGGTCTGAGTTCAAGTGCCAGCTCTGCTACTTCCATGCTGGGATTCTAATTGCTTTCATCTCTGAACTTCAGTTCTCTCATTTATACAATAAGGATACCTTGCAGTAAGGGTCAGAGTTCATATTAGTGAAGTGCCCAGTATATGTGAAGGACTTCATGATGCCAGCCTTACAAGGAAATGACCCTAATGCAAAGGAGAAATGGTGTGTGTATATGTATACATATGCACACACACACACACACAATGTTCAGCTTCAATATTTGTGATTTAAAATTTGTGAACTTTGTGAATTCCCAAAATTGCGTCAAGGAAAATAATGTGACCTTTTATTTTTACCAAAGAATCACCTCAATTTGGTACGTTTTTCTTCTTTGTCTAGCTTCATTTTAGGATCTTAGATTACACACTTACTGGGTGTTATGCGGATCAGCATTCAGTTCAAGTTTTTGCATCAGGAAAACCAAAAATAAGCACACGTAAGTTGTATAGATTCATACTAACTTGAGGGAATTAAAATGATGTTATACAGTTATTACCTAAGGTAAAATTAAAATGTAACTGAAAAAGATCAGGGAATAATCCCAATTTATAAAATTCTGGCCTGATCCTATTCTGTGTAAGACTTTGTGTACTTTATATTGTCCTCTGCCTTCTTCTGTTTATGAAATTTTCTGGATGGGCAAGAATTGGTGTAGAGGTGGACTTTAAAATTGGATTTATTTTGCTCTGTTTATAATATACACTTTTATTCAGGGGTTATTCATAGGGGCTTTGGTGTTGGACAGACAAGGGTTAAGTCTAGCTCAGACAGTTCGTTATCTGTGTAATTTTAGGCAAGTTAGTTAACTTTTCAAAGTTTTAGTTTCCGCATCTGTAAAATGGAAATAATAGTATTATTTACTTCAGGATTCTAAGCAATTACTTGTTAAGGACAATAATAAGTTCTGTGTAATGAAATTAGAATGTTATATTCTTTACCTTCTTAAGGTTTTTCCTATTTTCTCCTGCACCATTTTTTTGGGCAGTTTTTTAAAGAGATGATTATATGTAGAATGGTCTTCATAATGTTGTGTGTGTGTGTGTGTGTGTGTGTGTATGTGAAGGCATAATATAGTTATGTCAGTTTGGACAAACCAGTGGTTTCATCGAAATTCAAACAGACCAATATTTTAGAATGTATCTATGGAATACAGAATGCAAAATGTTAACTTAAATAATAATGGCTAACATGTATTGCTTATTGTATGCCAGGAGCAATTCTAAGTATTTTATGTGTTAACTCATTGATTTTTATATAATCCTATTATGTGTTATTTCCATTTTACAGAGGAGGATGTTGACAGAACAGAAAGATTAGAGTCACATAACTAGTAAATGGCAGATCTAGGAATCAAACCCACATAGTCTAGCTCTGAAGCCTGGCCGCTTAACCAATATGCTGTGTTGCCTCTCAGTGTCACTAAGTTCCCAAACTGGGGAAAAATAAATAAATAGAAAGATAAGGTAATATATCCTTTTCACTATGAAGCAGGGCATGAAGAAAAAAGGTAGAAAAGGCAGAATTAGATATTTAGTGATGTGTGTGATAAGAATTTACGGGTGTCTAGCTCCAAATGAGCATTATCTTAATTTTACATAGCAAAAAATGTTACTTCAAAAAGAGCTGTCATTTGTCTAAAGTTATAAAGCTATTAAAGCAAAAAGCTTAGATTTGATCAGAACTATAAGAAACCACTGAAGCCGGAGGTGGGGTAAGAGATCAACCGAAGGACTTGTATGCATGCATATAAGCATAACCAATGGACACAAGCCACTGGGGGGTAGGGGAGGCCAGGGAATGTCAAGAGGGGGGGAAAAGGAGACATATGTAATACCGGGGAATGTCAAAGGGGTTGGGGGGGTGGGGGGAATGGGGACATATGTAATACTCTTTGTAATACTTTAAGCAATAAAAAAAGTAATAAAATTTTTTAAAAAAGAAACCACTGAAGCAATCTTTTAAAAACATTTTTAGAAAGTTCTATCTCTGAAACTTTCAATGGGTAGAGAGTAATTTCAAGATCAAAATCAGGACCTTGGTAAAGAGGTTACAAAAGGGGAACCGATGTAAATTTTTTTTACTGTTTTTGTGCTTGAAGTAATGATCCATAGAAACAAAATTTAGGGAAAATGTGAGGAGGGGAAATGGCTGATTTGACATAAATGAGGGATTTTGGCATAAATTTGACAAAAATAAACTTAAACATGGATTATTTAAATGTTTTAGTGAAACCAAAGTTTTGAAATGGTAAGAGTTATAATAATGCCTTGAAAAAGTCAAATTAAAATGGATATTTCAAAGTATTGCCTTCCTTGAAATAGTTGTATTCCACAACTTTAAAATATCTGTCTCTTACTGAATTTTTGTTAATACAATTTATTAACATTGATCATTTATTTCTTTTATTTTTCAGACCGGAAACTAATTTCTTCTGACTATTACATCTGGAATTCTAAAGCTCCTGCTCCAGTAACATATGGATCATTATTACTGTAATTATCTCATGTTTAAATAAGGCTTATACAATAGTAACATAGCCTAAATTAAATCATAGTCTTTTATTTTTAATGTGTATGCATATAGCCTGTGAATGAGAAAACATTAAATGATTTAATTATAAAAATGCTTTTGTTTGATGTTTTTAGTCTGACATAGTTTGATAAAAAAACACTTTCAAGATTAATGTCTCCAATTTTGTTATTCTTTGATTTTTCTCAACTATGATTCAGAGCATAAACCAGTAGTGATTCTAGTCCTGAGTTATCCTGCCACATGTTCCTTCCTGTGCCTACGGCAGACATGGCTAATCGATTGCAGCCCTTTTACTCCACTGAGCTTCCTGGATACAGGCTTAGGTTCCTCTTCAGTTCAGACCTGCAGGCAGCCATTCTTGGTGGATTGCTGTTCCGAACCTGAGTACCAAGCTTCTAGTACATTGTGTTGTTACAGAATGCCAGAGACCACATGAGAAACAACTGTAAATCTCTTGAGAGGAAAAAAAAAAACAGCCAATGAAAACAAAGCAAAATTCTTTAAATAGTAAACTGTTCTTAATCAGAACTACCCAATTGACTTATAAAGAATCTGCATAATTCTAGTTAAGGTGTTTATCTCTGTTCTGGAGTTACTTTTCAGGTAAGCTTATTATCTGCCACAATAACAATTTGCTTTAGGTTGTCAATAAGAATAGTAAGAGGGCTGAACCGGTTTGGCTCAGTGGATAGAGTGTCAGCCTGCGGACTGAAGAGTCCCGGGTTCGATTCCGGTCAAGGGCATGTACCTTGGTTGCGGGCACATCCCCACTCGGGAGCGTGCAGGAGGCAGCTGATCGATCTCGCTCATCGATGTTTCTAACTCTCTATCCGTCTCCCTTCTCTGTGGAAAATCAATAAAATATATTAAAAAAAAAAAGAATAGTAAGAGGGGTAGTATGTCTTCAGAGGATGAGCATGGTGTTTTGTGATGACTTAATGTGTGCAGCCAAATTTTTAAAGATAAATTTAGGTATTATATTGCCTTTTTCATATTTTATTATTATTAATTCATTAATGAATAAATTCAGGTAAAATTCATATAGCATATTTTCTTTAAATTTGTCATTATCACTCTCTTATTAGCATTATCTTAGTTTCCTCAGGAATCATATAGTCATACTCTTTATTCTTTACCTGTCTTGACAATTATGTCTCATTCTGTTTTCAAAGCAGTTCATTTTCAAGTTGGACTTTAAGTGACCATTCAAGAAAAGATAAAATCTCAAGATCCTCAAATCTTAATCCATGTCAAGTTTCTTTTCATGGAATAGAATTAGAAGTGTTATAAAAAATATACATTACAGATTAGTATTCAATTAAATTATATCTTAGTTTCTATTTTTTAATGAGTCTCTTAAGGAAAAGCTGCTAACTTCTTAAAAGGGATTGTGATACTTTGAAGGGGTATTGCATATAAATTTAGGATTTGAAATGTGATTTTTTAATTAAGGTCAATCCTACTCATTATAAACTCTTATTTTTTGCAAGGCATTATTGTGGCATAATGTTCTCTGTTCAAAATTATCCTAGTAACACAGGAAATAGAATAACTGCCTGATCAGGACTTTAACTTATTAGTCTAGCTTAATCATAGTAGTAAAAACCTTCCTTTTGAAAGAATAAAAAAAAAGACTCCCCTTTAGTCATTTGATCCCTCTTTAACTCAAGGAAAGCTTATATTTAATTTATGTTAATATTAATGGAGCCATTTGAACATCTTGATTGTATAAATGTTCAGCAAAGTACACTAAGATAGGCATGAGGCTTTTAGTGAGTAGGCAGAGATTCAGTATAATAATCCCCTAGGGAAAACTATAAGCAATCAGAAAACCAGTGCATCTGGTTTGACATTTCTAGAAACCTGAGGAAAAATCTAGGGCAGACTGGAAAAGTGTGGGGCCATCGGCAACCTAAGGCCATCTGTTGCCATTCCATTCTAACATAATGCTACAAAACTAAAACCAGCTCTTGTTTTCTTCCCGTTGAGATCAGTTGGACACATTGTGATGCTTTTGATTTTGTCTAGAAACCTGTCACTTCGGGATAATTTCTGAAGACAAAGTCTGCTTCCCGTTTGGTAGGTGACCTGTTTAATGTTTTCCCTGTGTCTGGGAACTCCTTAGTGTAATTAGCGACCTTTGAACTCCACAACTAATCCTGAGCTATTTTGTATTCCTTACTCATCTTTAAGGCTGGACCTTTCTTTTCTTCAGACTCCACTGCCACAATTAAAGAAGAAACAGCTGCATTTCAAAGGGATTCCGATCCAGAAGCTTAATCGTGATTGACATGTTCTTATTCTAAGCTATAAGACACTCTTAAGAGTCCTTTCTTGGGTTAAAACTTCAATCATTTTCTAAAAAATTATCTCACTATGGATTTTATTCATTTTCTTTGATAACTATTCTTTGCATTTTTTAACTTGAAAGATGCTTTGCGTTTGCAGTGAATATGAGCACCTATTTCCAAAGATTTGGATGGTATCAGACCTACTCTAGATGCAAAGTTGCTAAATTCCTTTTGAGTGCAAAATATGATTATGAAATCTGTTATCTATCATATAGGTGATTATTCTTCAGTAGATCCAAATGATACAAAAAATGTTAAATTTCTGAAAATGTGCTCCAGAAAAAATGGTTCATGATTTTGGTGAAATCCTTCTTTTCTAAACAATATTTTTTAAACTTTTTTAAGCCCTTACAGAGGTGGGCATTTTTTAACTTTCTTAAAATAATTGATTTAAATATCAGATTTGAAGTAAATAGCCCTGTCAGAAATTCTTAAGAGAATTATTTGTTTAAAAAATGTTTTCTTGATTAAACATTAGTCTGTCTTATAAAATTCTGTTTTACACCAACTATTTGAGTTGAAATTGTGATTTTATATATTGTATAATTTAAGATCTCTCAAAACACAATTTTGTACATAACAACAACAGCTAATGTTCTCCTTTTTTTTATTATAGTATTTCAAACCACTTCATAGCCATTCATAGACTCCTACACCACCCCTGGGCGGGAGGGAGGTCGAGTTTGCATCCAGAGCCTCTGCAGGGACTGCTGCCACCGCAGAACGGTTGTTTCTAAGACAAAGGTCAGGAAAGGGATGTTAATAAACAGTCCTCAGGTTTAAGGGACTTTTTTAGGATTACATCTTAAATTCCAACAAATCAGATTTAGGAGTTACTGAAAGTGAAATTGATCCATCCCTCATCCAAACTTTGCAATACTTTCCTGTTCTGACATCATTTAGATAGTTGGCTGTATTATCAGATTAGAAACCATTGTACCACGCTGCTGAAAGGAAAAGGAGGCAAAAAGCTAAACATAGGATAAATTCTGAACCTTTTAACCTGGCTGAAGTACGTTGGTCCCTGTTATGCAAATACCTTCAATCCTCTGCTAAGTTCAGTGGAAATAATTTTCTTGAATGACAGGTTTATTCAGCAAGGATTCAGTTGGTGATTAATCCCCCTTTGATCTAGGGTATTTCACTTAACTACCAGTTACCTCGTTCTGACAAAGTGCAACTGAGATTAGGGAGATCACTAGAACACTACCAGGGTGTGCATTTATTCTCTCTAACCTTTTAAAGCAAGGGCCAAGAATGCAATTTATTTTCAGTATTTGAAGATGTAAAGTCCTGTCTGCTAAGTTAGAAAGTCAATTGAATACCAAATGAAGTTTATTTCTTACGTAATAGAACAAACATTTCTTTTTTGCTTTGTCTAACAATGATTTTTAGGAAACATAGGCTTTGAAAAAAGAAGAAAGACTACATTCTAAGTATATCTTCTAGTTTTGTTTCATGTACTAGAGAATATACTCATTGACCCTGAGATAGCCCAAAAATCAAAGCAGTCACTACAATTTAGGTTGAAAAAATGCTTCAGTTTTATTAAATTGCATGGTTTCTTCCCACCCTCCTCCCATTTAAAAAGGTCATGCTATGTGGTAAATCCAATTGTGGAAACATGTAATACACAAGTATTCATCTTAAGACTTCTGATTTCAAGGCTTTATTTGTTAACTTTGTCCTTTCTTGAGGAAAACAACTTATGTTCCCATCATAAGAATAATTGCGTTTACTTTCAGAATGAAGATTTTTGTTGATAAAGAAAGGTAAATGATGCCATTACAAGAATACTTCTAAGTAATTATTTTAAATTATCAAACTAACCATTTTCCACAGCATTGTTTACTATTTTTCTGCCTTCCTTTCCATTTAGCTGTGTACCTCTTCTTCCATAACTTTAAGACTGAAATATTCTTTGGAATCTTGCACAATATTTTAAGAATAACATTTTAAGATACATTTTGTGCTACGGTTTCTCAAAAAATTCATCTTTAAAAACTTACCATTGTCAAAATTTATCTTGCAAGATATCAAATGTGTGGATCTATTCCGCATATAGTTTAAGACCCTTAAAAAAGAAACAATAATTTTTAACAAAAATTTGTTTTTAAATACTAAGTTATTATTAGTGATTAATGTTATTATAGACAGAGCATTTTAAATGCTTTATAATTGTTCATTATCCTAGTAGCAGTTTGCAATACAAGTTATGTATTTACATAATTATACATTATTTTGTTCCAAAGTCTCTGTGACCCAATTTCTAAATTGAAACAATGACTCAAAGAAGTACCTCTAACTTCCCTGGGTACCACCCTCCCCTGTTTCAATTTAGTAACCAAACTTTCCAAATATCTTTTGATAGCCGGTTACTTAATCACAGAAATTGAGGATCAGAAAAAATATAAGATGAAAGGCAGGACCCCCTGGCTATGTTGCTAAGAAAACTAGTATTTTTAATAATTCACTATGCAGTAAATATTTTTAATGAAATGTTGCAATATATTTTGAAATATGTATCAGAATCTGTATAAATCATATGTACATGTATGTATATGTAATGTATATAATACATATGTTAAGTGTCATGTCAGAGGAAATAATTCAAATATTCAAATATCTTTCCTCCAAACACAGTGTTAGTTAATAGTAATGAAGAGGTTCATTAACATATAAATTTCCAAAGAACTCATGAGATCACTGTTACAAAATGATTAAAATTTTTATGAGCTTCAGCTAGCTTCTAATTTTTTTCATCAACTGTTTTAGAGGTATGATAATGTCCACATATAGCCTGCAGCAGTGCAAGGCCATATCTCTATGACTAGTTTATTGTCTTGTAAGCAAGCTGCTCTGAGGTCCTGGTTGATTTCTCTAAGACCTTGGCTAATCTGCACAATTGTTGGCAGTGTAGTGCTAATATATGATGTACAGCATTTAGCATTTACAGATTGACGGATGCCCTGGGATGGAAACCACCTGATGAATTGTTTCTCCAATAGGATATGTGAAAATTTGTATATTTTAATAATCCATCAACATGTAAAGTCAAAGTGTATGTTTCCTTTAAATGTCTTTTTAAATGATAGTTTTGTAAAAGAATATTGTTATCCCTCTTAAAATTTTTACTTTTTCTCTCAAGGGATTTGAGTGCCCTCTGCAGGTTATAAAGAGATAATTAATGGCAATATTTATTTTTAAACCCTGTGATTTTTCCCTTTTAGAAGCACAACCTGCGTAAATGTGATCCATTTTATTTATATTGTTAATCTTGTTGATTTTCTGGTGATTGAAGGAAGAGTTTCTTTTCCTGGCCTGTTTTATTTAGTGTGAAGTAATATCATTGAATTTTACAAATCACTTAGCTAGGGCTCTTTGGATATTGAAACCATACACATTGGAAGTAATACAAAGTCCCTCATAGAAAGGAGATTGGGAACATTTAGCTATTTTGAAATTTATTGAAGATGTAGAGAATAACTTGATTTAATTCCCATTACATAATTAGACTATTAATACATTTGAAATAAGCTTTTCTTTTTCAATATGCATTGTGTAAAATTTTTAAATTACATGAGTTCTATTTCTTACTCTTGTTGACGAGGTGATGATTGTGTTCAAACTAAAAAAGCTTTACATCTGATTCACTTAAAGCTGCCAGGGGAACTAAATACGATGAGAACAAGAAGAATGGTTGGGTCACATTAATAGAAATAGATCTTTTTGCAAGAACATAGTGATCCTGATCATCAACCTTGAAAAGTAAATTAGAACAAGCAAATTGCTATTGAAAAATTCTTTCAGCACTCTGCTGTTGCTACTCAGCTAGTCATGGCTCAGCCAGAGGCAAAGAAAAGTGCAGTTTGGTGTTAACAAAGGAAACATTATTAAAGTGAATGTTTACATTGTATTTATTCAAGTGTTGAAAGAATATTTGTTGCAACTTCAACTACTGTTCTCCCTGCTATAATATTGTGTGAGTGAAGATAAAAATAATTTGTACATTTTAAAAGAATAAGTAACATTTAACTTGTGTCGATTGTCTTCAAAATGCATAAATATCAAACTTAATACTTTTTTATTTAAAGATTTCTGTCTCCAGCAAATGTATCTCATTAAAAAAAACGAACTCATTAAATATACCTTCCGTTTATCTCCACACCTGCTCTTAGCGAAAAGGTCGAGAAGCAACCCAAGGATTTCCAAATGCTTTATGTAACTTTTCCCCTTGAAACTACAGTGCAAAAGAAATAATAAACTGAAAATTAAGCAAATATGAAAACAATTGTGAAATTACTGAAGTGAGTGTGTAGTTGACTATATAATATGCTCATTGGAGAAACAGCTTGATAATTGAGAGAGCATTTGTGAGCAATTATTTTAAGCTACTTCATAAAAACTAACTTGAGAATAGACAACGGTTGAAATCATGCATGCCAATCGGACTTTTAAAACTTTAATAAGTATTATAAAATGGGAAAGTTAATTAAAAATTCAGGAAGAATTTAAGCTTCCACATATCTAAAATGAACAATTTAAATTAACTCATGTTATAGAAGTATAGAATTTAACAGGAATTAAAGTACCATTTTTTACTTGGTCTCTTTTTTTTTTTTAACCTGGTCTATTAGCAGGTGTTATTGAATACAACAATTCAGTATTCTGTGATCTCTTTTGGACTGACTAATTTTTGAAGAACTAATTTGAGACTCACCAACAGTAAAATCACAATCTTACATATTTCAGCCTAAAAATCTTATCACAGCAAAGATGATTAGCCCATGCAATAGGCTCCTGAGAACCTTTTAGCCAGATACTTTATTATTAACAATTATAATAATATATTTACAGAGGATCATTAATTAAATATGGAAGAATTTATAAAAATTATTTTTAAAGTTATGAATTACCTGTGTATCAGTTTATATTTAAATATTTAATATTTTCCTAAGGAACTTCAATCTTTGTCCATAATGTAAAAAAAAATTTTTTTAATCTAAAGCAAATGGCAAGCCACTAATTCTGCTTTGCTAAGGAAGTAACCAGAAGTGGTTAGTGATGCTTATCACTTGTTAACTAATCGTAGCAAGAGGACTTTTTAACTAATATGAATATCAGTGGCTTCGTGCCCATAGTATGTATTTCCCTTATACATATTAAAATAGCACATGCCATCTTATTTAATTTTAAAGGCTTAAACACAAACAAGGCATGACTTGGAATTAAAAACTGCTTAGTAATCTAGTTGAAATGGAAACCCTGCCCTGGCTTGCTTGGCTCAGTGGATAGAGAGTCAGCCTGCAGACTCAAGGGCCCCTGGTTTAATTCCAGTCAAGAGCACATTCCTGGATTGTGGGCTTGATCCCCAGTAGGGGATGTATAGGAGGCAGCCAATCAATGAGTCTCATCATTGACGTTTCTATCTCCCTTCCTCTCTGAAATCAACAAAAATACATTTTTTAAAAAAAGAAAGGGAAACCCTAATCTTCTATAATAATAAAAGGGTAACATGCTAATTAGACCAGTCAAAGGACCTTCTGGATGTCCTTCCAGACGAAACTGGGGCTGCAGCCGTGGGATCAAGGCAGCGGCCACAGCTGTGAGGAAGGGATCCAGGTAACTGCCGCTGCTGCTAAAGCGTACTCTTGCATGAATTTTGTGAATCGGGCCTCTAGTTTGGTCAATAAAAGGTAATTAATGTTAAACTTTTATTGTGCTTCTATTATATACTACTCTAGAACTAGATAGACAAAACAATTGTACCTGATTTTGAATGGTGTAACTCCTGGAATGTATTAACACTGTAATATAGGAGACTTCTTCTAGATATGGCTAATACAGAAATTGTCCAAATACGTGGTGGTTGAGGTTCTCCAGGCAGACAACAGAAAGAAGGGCATCCTAGGGGCAACATATCTCTGTAGGTCTGACAAGCAGTATCCCAGGAACCTGAACATATTATATGGTAAGAGTAAGCATGCAGGGGGATATTTTTTCTTCCAAAAGTTTGAGATTTGGGAACTTACAAAAATAAATTTCTAAGGAAAGTAGTTACCATATTTAATTTCCAGCCTAGTATACACAGAAACATGAAGGCACTCCTACATACAAAATGTACTTCCCCACTCGGTCTCCCCCTTCTGCCTCCCTTGGTCCCTAATTATGGATGCATGTTCACATGTGCTAGTATGAGATTTACCTCTGTATTACCAGTGAAGAAAATATGCTGTATAAATAGGATTATGAGGAAACTATATAAGTGAACTGTTACATAATCTGTTTAATATATTATACTTAATCAATTGATAAGCTAAATTTTTGTTTAGGATAGTTTACCTATGGTAGAATTTCTACCTTGGAACACATTATTACCCTTGAATCAGTTGAATAGATAGATAGATAGATAGATAGATAGATAGACAGACAGACAGACACACACACACATACGTGTGTGTATAACAAGAAAAATGCAATCTCTAGAACACTATATTAAACTTTCCAACACTTCACATGCCAATATTTTGACTTGAGGGTGACATTCATCTTTGCATGGTTGTATTCTCAGTGCCCTGAGAACACAAAAGAAGCTTAGTATTAATTCAGTAAAGTAGCAAAATATTAAATATGAAACAAAGTAGGTTGTTTTCCACCTAAAGCAAATCAGTGATGTCTGAGTGATTGTTTTGCACGTGTATAAAAAAAAGCCCATTGTGCAAACAGTAGTTCAGTCCACAGGAAGCACAAGTGATTTCTGCCCAGTGATTGCCATCTCCGGCACTATTCAGAGAATGTGGCGCTCTGACACTGCTCTTCAGGCACTGCCGAGCTTTGGCTCAACCTGTTAGACCAGCAGCAACTGAGGCCTGCAGTGGCTGCCCATCATAGGTCACATCTTTGCAGTTCTGCTTCAGTGAACTTTGAAGCATTTGGTCCTCCCATCTTAGAAATGCCCTCCTGGAACTCACTCTCCAATGGCTTTGTGAGCTCTCCACTGTTCACCCAAGTGGATCCTGATTTTGTTCAACATAATAAGACCTGATGCGACTCCCCTCACCCCATAACACCACAGCTTCGCAGTGATTTCTGTGTACCTATGGAATAGAATTGCCAGTATCCAAGAATTGTGACTATTTTGTACATTTTCATTAACCATAAAGGCAGAATGGTATAGAGGAAATATGCAATCTTTCAACTCATACAGGCCTGATTTCAAATCCCAGCTCTGCCATTTACAAGCTGGGTGGTTCCTGGTCAATTACCCTCTTTGGTCTTCACTTTCCTCCTAGCTTCATAGGATTATTGTGAGCATTAAATGGTAGCAAGTTCTAACTGCATAGGTAATCAATACTCATTCCCTTCTATATTAGAGTTTTAAGGATGGCCTTTACATGCAATTGTTCTGTCTATATGGTTATGCCCTCAAATTATCAAAATTATATGACTTGTCCATCTGACCTTTGTTTTCAATGTTCAGCTATGCATTATATTGCAAAAATGCCTACTCTATTGCTTGAAGTTAA